TCTTGCTATAGGGCAAAAGCCATAAAATCGTTCCTTCAAGAAAGACATCTAATGTCAATGGCATGGCCTGCAGATAGTCCGGACTTCAATCCAATTGAAAATCTGTGGTGGAAATGAAAGAAAATGGTCCATGACAAGGCTCCGATCCGACCTGCAAAGTTGATCTGGCAACTGCAAAAAGAGAAAGTTGGAGCTGGATTGATGAAGAATACTGTTTGTCGATGGTTAAATCCATGCGTCATAGAATGCAAGCTGCTATTAAATCCAGAGGTGGTGCAAGTTTGGAGTGCTGCGCACATAAACAGTACAAAAGGGACACAAAGCAGCTGTCAATCACAGCTGTTGAAGAGGAGAAGGGCAGTGGCTTTTGCTCCGTGTCCCTTTTTCTGCTTCTTCTGAATGGCTGCACATAGTTTTTGTGCTTGGCTGCGAGTTTTAGGCTCAGTTCTCATCTGTGCACGCGTTTGCGTGTGCAGATCGCAAGCTAGAGCAGCCCATTCATTTCAATGGACTGCCCTACCCACAAGAGACATGGGGAAAGAATCCCTGACTTTTTTTTTTTCCCAATTGCACTGCACCAAACTACATAGTGCTGTGGCACTATGCAGTTTGGCGCACATTAAAATGTGCTGCGATTGTTGATGCGTGGGGGTGACATTAAGAATTAATGGCACCCCTGCACATCTGATAATGTGCAGCACGTTTCACATGCAGAGATGTGAACCTAGTGTTAATCTCAGCAGCACGCATTTCCAACACCCCATAGGTCCTGGTGGCACAGGGAGCAGACAAAGAACAGCAAGAAGCAGCGCAGTTGGGGAACAGTTTACAAAGAAAGCTTCAAGGAGGAAATGTATTTAAAAAACATCAAATATCTGCAAGTTATAACATTAGAATCTGATTTCCTGAACCATCCAGGAAGTACTGGGATCCATCACAGCGGGTACGGCAGGACCAGACCGGCATGTCACAGTGGTGTTTTGGACTTGATGAGCCTTTTATCTTCTACCTTTGAGTTGCCAATTTGTTGATTATTAAAGTCTGTGCTTTTATGTTACACTCAGAAGGTCCTGCTTCTCGCTCTTCCTTATATGTTGCAGAGTCCCTTCTAGCTCTTTCTGCAAGCAACAGCCACTGGGTCAAGCATCTAAACCAACTGGATCATTATAGACATTCCCCAGATAGACCAGCATGTAATACCCTTTGGACAAACCTTGGACTGCTTTCTGTAGAGTGCGCCAGAACCAGCTCTTTTTTACTAGTGTATACCAGTAGCGGTGTGTCATGGCGTATTATGTACGCCCAGTGTGCAGCTAACCATCTTGGGACCCTCATATATTAGAAGCATGTATAAATTATGAACATGAACAGAGGAGCATTGCAACGTACAATAAGATCTTCCTGGAAACAAACCGCTTAATTCCATATTTTATTGTTTTTGACAAGCATTTACAACTTTTCATTCATAGACCTAAAAACATAAAAATAGACCTTCTTTCAGCTTATAAAAGAAATATATAAGAACATTTGACATCGACATGTCATGACAATATGTACATATAACGGTACCGAGAAAAGCACCAGAAATTCCAGTTGTTCACAATGGACCATATCTCAGCTTGGAACGGTACACCACAGGACTGTCTCTGAATATTGTGTTGAGGGGGGGCGTACACTAGTGAACCGCGCATGGCATAGTATGACAATAGAATTACGAAAAGAAGAAAAAAAATATCTGGTCAGAAGCTTTTGCTCATGGATTGCAAGATTCACTGTCACATTAACCAAAATAAGTTGTACTAGGACTGCAAAGCGTAGCAAGATTACTTCCTCACTTTTACACGTCACAATGGAACCATAGCTAGCATTGTGAATATTGACTTTAAAATCTTACCGTTCCAGGAAAGACCAGGAAAAAAAAGCTAGAAACAAAGGTTTTCACTTTCTGTGAGGCCCCCGGCACAGATCTTAAGTAGCTGTTTCCACCACGTTATCACAACATGAAGATGTCAAACTCTTTTCACAACATGAACGTGTCAACGTTCAACGTACTGCAGTTAAAACTTTATTAAAAATATAGTGGAGCTCATGTAGTTTGGTGAATAGGGTGGGGGAAGGTTCAACATAAAATTAAGAGCAAGTTCATCTAAAACTTTCATATTGCTTTTGGATGGAAGCCAGTGGGTTATATAAAACTAACCGACTTCTTTGGGCGTTTAGCAGCGTTAGCCCCTTCAGCGTTCCTGACCTACCATTGCCACACCTATTAGTAGGTGCCACACTCTTGTTGTGGGATCTAACAACTGAATATATTTGAAGGAAATTCCACCAGATGGATCATTACACCCTTTTTTGGCATTGTAATAGCCATGATTGGGAATGTCTAGTGAGGACACCTTGCTGAGTCCCTGAGAAAAAAAAAAGGAAAATAAATAGAGGAAGAATCAACCTAGAGACGACCACCTAAAATGGATATTAGCTTGGAATGGTCTTTAAAAAGGTAGTTCTAATTTGTCTGCTAAAAGTTCCAACAACAGTTTCTCTGGAAAAAAGATTGTATAGATTTACCTCTCCTGCCACAAGCCTACTGATCAGACTGTTTAGGAACCAATTCTTCTTTGAAAGCTGGATTCTTGGTTCCTCCCTCCCCCACACTTTGCTCAGTGGTTCAGTCCACCAACCCCTACCCCAATGTGGTATTTAGTGACATGTCTATGGGAAAAAGCCACTGAGCCCAGCAGGAAACCATCAACAAGACACTTCAAAGACAGTTTTTGAAAAAAATTGGTCAAGCAGTAGCAGGGCGGGTGGCAGGAGAAGAATTGACTTATCTTCTTTGCATGGAAATTATTTTTGGGGAGTATCATATGAAAACAAAGTCACTTTAAGTCATCTCCTACCAAAGTACCTGGGATTTACTGGTATTGAGCTGCAATTCAACACAAGTGCCACCTATTTTGTGGCCCTGCAATACAATCATACCCTTACATTTTTTGAGCCAGAAATGTTTTATTCTAGTATTGGATTGAGTGGGAAAACATCTGAACCCTTGTTGGGTTTTTATTGCTATCTGTGGCTCCGTCCACTTCCTGTCCTGCTGACAACAGCGCCACAAAACAGGAAGTGGGGGCAATACTGAAACAGATTTGTCCAGCTCCCAAGGCAAGAATGAGGCACAGAGCTCTTCCCCTGCTGCTAATGTATGATGTAGCATGGTTGTACCTCCCTACACCCATTCTCTGACCCCTTGCTCCAGCTGTCTATGGTTGGTACAGAGTGTACACTGCACATGCATGGCCAGTTGCTTGCTTTCTCACAGCTAGAAGTTATTTGCAAGATGTGTTTTTCATGTCAGCTGTGGGTGGACTGGGTGAAGAGTGGTCATGTTGGAGTGCATAATGACAGCAGTAGCTGTAAGAGCAGACCTGAAAATGCCAGTCACTGGAGCTGCCTGCAATGAGGGGCTCCCCCTAGGTGCTGCACCAGGGGCAGCTGTCCCTTCTGCCCACCCCTTGTCCTGGCTCTGAGTGAGGGAAAAGCTGTGAGAGAGATGCAGATAGATGTAAAAATCTGACAGGATTTTTAACATTCCCCCTGTCTACTAAAGAAAAGCATTTTTTTTGTCTTTGTTACTACAGGAGAGTTCCCCTCACTTCCTGTCTGGTGAAACCTTGTCAGCAGAAAGGAAAGCGAGAATACATCTCTCCAACTGAGCCCTGAATAGAAGAAAAAAAAAGCAAACCCCCCACCCCCAAAAAAAACCCAGACAGGGATTCTAGTAATTTCCCATTCTTTTACAACTAAGAAAAAGTTTTGGCTTGAGATACACTTTCATATGGTTTTCTGAAGTTACCACTATTTGGAATGGTTGGACTTAAGTCCTTCAAGCAGTGCAAACATCAGGATGAGGGTCCCGAAGGTGCTACAGAAGTAGAGGATCCGGCTGTATTTTTTTATTATTATACAACCTGGACCTTTCGTTTAGAAAGGAAGGATAAAACATACAATAAGTAATGAGATGCCCTATTGGAATGGTTAATGATTGGCTGGGTCTGAACTGGTGCCACTGCTACCAGAATGGAAGAATGACTTAGAAAAATTAGGATATGCTTCCTGCAAAACTATGGATAGCTTTATTTTCCCCAAGCTCTCTGTATTAAATATATATATATGTGTAGAAAACTAGTGTGTCCTATCTCCTAAGAAAGACTAGATTATCTGCTTCTCTGAAGGCTTACAACATAAAATGCCCCATATCCCCTGGTGTCCCTGGATTTAAAAGCTATAAATACAAAAAGGAAAAAATAAAGACCTATAGGCATTTTTTTCAAGTTTTCCACCTCTGTGAAGAGTTTGGCATCATTACAATTTTTTTCAGCTTGACATGTAATTAAAAGTATTTTGTAACATGACTTAAATAACCATCAAATATGCCAAAATTAAAATATAAAATGTAAGACTGGAAAAAACAAAAACGGCTTTTGCTGCACAAATTCCAAACGATCCCTTAAAACACTTTTTTTTTTTTTTGAATACAAAGCTATAGTAGCGGAACATGTTTTTACAGTGATGGGGGGGAAAAAAGGAATATCAACACAACAAATTTCATAAAACGAGGGAAAGTGCAGGGAGCAAAGAACAGAGCGATCACAACATAAGTCCCTCTTTTGTGCTCTCTCTTTACAAGACTCGGCGCTGCCTTTGTCTTCTTGACCACTTTTGTACATGACCCTTTTTCTGTCCAACCCTGATTGTTTAATAATAAATAAAAATTAATAATAATAATAATAATGATAGCAGCCCCGACCTGCTAGTGACTGAAGGACGCTGGGCTTATGTAACAGGATTCTGCATTTGCGTTTTTGTAACCCAGTACGGCTCTGCAGCCAATTTAGCTGCCAACGTTTTGTGTGCAAGTGTGCAGTCTGGAGGATTACATTTCCACAGTGCATGGAACGCCGTCACCTATTCTGACCTGTACAGAGCGATAAAAGTGACTGTCAGATTTCTGTGTTTAGTTTCCTGGCTGGTACAAAGTCTTCCCGTTTCACCCATATGACTTCTTCGGTGGTGCTCTCTATGCTACCGTTCATTCCAGAAAAGGCAGTCTGTTTCTTGAGCTGGGTCATACGGGAAGCATGAGTGCTCATAGTGTTTTGGACGATGTTATCCAATGGATTGTTGGAGAGGGAAGTGGCTTCGAGCTGGTCGCTTAGATCCTTCTCCATGGAACCACCTTTGATGGACTCACAGTACTCATCATCACTGCTGAGAATGTCTGTTTCTTTCACGTCTTCCTGCTCCTCATATTGGGCCAGGTCAAACTGCTCCTCCACCCAGCGGTCAGTGTCACCGCTATTGTTTGTCTGCTGAGGTGGTTTGGGTTCAGCCTCAGGCTCAGACTCTTTGTCGGGGCTTGTTGAATAAACCGTGTCTGAGTCTATGGTGAAGCGGTTCCTAACGAGGCGTCTTCTCCGGGCAAGAGATCTACTGGGAGCAGAGACTGTACAACAGAAGATCCAATCAGAAAGAGGACATTTTTAAATGAACATTTTTTGTGAAAATTCATTTGTATGTCAAAACAAACATTGTGACAAATCCTACAGGGCCCTTTAGAAAACAGTTAATATATTTGCATTTACAGCCCTTTAGAGATTTATAACCCGCAGCTCATTAATTTCCCAGCAACAGTATAGAATTCAGATCTTGTCAATCATCAAATATGTTCAAAGGGGGCTGACTGAGAAAGGGAAAAAATGGCAAAGATAAACATAGACCTGAACAGGTATCCATGGCAGCACTAGGTTTTAACATCAGAGAAGAGTTCTATTTGAACTTTATGACCTGAGGGCTGTTAGTCGCCCTCTTATGTAAGGGAGAGAAAAAAAAAAACTTGTTTCTTGAGAACCGCTTTCCCATATCAATTGGTTTTAAAAAGGGAACCAGCCATTATGCCAAGCCTGAAGCTGCCATTGTCTGAACTATAAGCTGTATATTATATCCAAGGCCATAACTGTCTCACAGTGATGCTGAATAGCTGCTCCACTGCCCTGAGGCCAGTATGCAGAGAGGCAATCTATGGCAGCCTCTATCAAAGAAATATTTCTTTTTCTCTTTGACAACAGAGATTTCCTTAAATGACAGCTTTGTGAGTTATGGTGAGCTCACACTAGGTGCTGACAGCCTTCATCTAAGACTACCTAGCTCTGCATGCAAAACACTAACTAGACCCATTAGCACCTTATCTAGTACAGCCAAGGCTACTTTGCAGCCTTACAGGCCCATGCTGCCTGTGGATGCAACGTATTGCTTGTTTTGGGGCACAATGCAGCTCTGTAGGACCATATAGAACACCATGCCTAAATATAGTAGAAAACACCTGTTGCAATTCTCCACGGTGGTGAGCGGTCGGTGCACTAGCTTGTAGTGTCTTCCTAGCACCCGAGCAAACATGTAGATGAAAGAAAGCCGACAGCTCAATCTACCACAATAAATGAGTTTATTAATCCAGTTGTGGTACAAAAGAATACAGGGCTTATCCATGTAGGTGTGTCGCCTTAGTTATAGCCATGGCTAGGACTAAGGCTACGTTCACACTAGCGTTGTGTGCAGGTGGCAGAGAGGCGTTTGGGAAGCGTTTTTACCGCTTCCCAAACGTCTCTGCCAATTCTGCACATTACAGCACATGGTGCTGTTCTAACGGGAGCGTTTGCGTTGCGTCGCGGCAAAACAGACGCCTCTGGTTGAGTCAGGAGGCGTTGAAGCCTCCTATTCTAGTCTATGGTGCTGCTCCACAAATGCCCGGCCTGCGTTTGCAGTGCAGTTGCGACGCGGTTGCAGGGCATTTGCGGAGCGGTAACACCATTCAAACTGCATTATAGGCGTTTGTGGGGTGTTTTTAACGCTCGGCAAACGCCTAGCAACCGCCGCTAAACCGCACATGCGGCGTTTGCGGAGCATTTGCCGAGTGTTAAAAAACGCTCCGCAAACGCCAGACCTACGCTTGCCAAGCGCTATAGGGGCATTTGACAAGCGTTGGTAAAACAGCCAAGTGTGAATGAGCCCTAAGTCTACACGTCAAAACACGTAGGCCCTGTATTATTTTGTACCACACCTGGATCAATAAACTCATTTATTGTGGAAGATTGAGCGGTCGGCTTTCTTTTATCTACATACCACCATACCTGCCCAGAACAGGCATGATTTTTGGAAATCTGGCTATGGCAGCATTCAGAACTTGGTAGAAACGTTAGCTAGGCCAAATTACAGTCATGTTGACAGGTTCCCTTGAAATGAAAAAAAGTGAGTCTGTAAGGACTGATGTCTGGTGCTTTTGGAAGTAAAGTGGTCCCTTTAGAGATGATGTCTCTGTCTATAAACGTTTTGGAGATCAGTGTGAATCAAGTTACAATTTGATATACAACTTCAAAACAATATCTGAGCCTAGACTGGTACTAAACGGACGATGGTGGTCAGTGTGCCATATTGTCATTACCTGCTCTATTCATGGCAGGGCGAGCACCCTTCAGTGCACAAAGCCTCTTCCCCCCAAATGGGACATACTGCTGGGAATTTGGTAAGCTTTCAGTTTTCAGCAGCTGCCTCCTATGCTTGTCCCGTAGGATAGAATGCACTGCCCTCAGGAACTCCTTCTTTTCCGCTGGAGAACTGCAGAGATAGGAAGACATGAATGTCATACAGGGAGGAGTAGAGCGCTGCTAGAGTGCTCACATGTGCACAACACAAGTAAAACTGCAATGCAAACCATATGGTACACAGTATGTATGAATTGCATAATACTCCTTGAATGGCAGACCTATAATACTTGCAGTAAAATATTTTTGTATACATAGGACATTCTAAATAGATGGTTGTAACCTAGACTTTCTTCGATAACATTAACCCAACTACTCTCTGCTGTCAAAACCCGTGTCACATTCAGAGCAACATTATCCCAAAGTAAAGTGACCATAGACAGTTCAAATCTCAGCCAGTTCAGCAGGGACTGGCCAAGATTCAAACCAGGTATGGAAAGCCAGCTTGTTGGATTTTACATGCAATTATTGCTAGCAGTTAATAAAGCTGCTAGCAGGAATCACTGTGTTATTCACCTGGCTAGGGGAGCCGTCCCCACCGGGAGAACACAATGGCTCTGCGGAAGGGATTCCCCCATCAACACTGGCAGTGGCTGGCTTAAGAAGCATTCTAGAGTGGGTGTGACTTATTCTTTCAGAGATAAGAGGTCATAAATAGGGGATGGTTCAATTCGATCAGCTTTTTTTCCTGCTTGTATCTTATTTTAGGAGATTTGCCTTCACTTCCTATCCTAGAAAGACAACGAGAAGTAAAAGCACGTTTCTCCAAAAATGATGGGAAATCTGCATTTACAGCAACAGGTGTCCCCTTTTGAAGATTTCCCCTCACCTCCTGTTCTGGTGACACCCGTAAAATGTTTTGATTCCCCATTTCAATTATTACCAGGGCACATAGAGGGCAAATCTTCCCAGATTGGACACCAGCAGCAATAAAAACTTGAACAAAGGTTTCAATCTTCTCTACTCTGTTTAAAACTAGAAATACAAGTTTCAGCTTTACATACTTTTAGGTAAATGAATATGCAAACCCTCACCTTGTAAAATAACCCATTCCATTTAAAATAGAAACGAAAGGCAAAACATTTGTGTATAGATATAAAAAAAATTATATACACTTTTTTTTTTAAATAAATGATCACAAACCCTCTGTTCTCAACTGCATAGAGAGTTGGGGGTGGAGAAAAAGCAGTGCACTGTTCTTCGCAGTAAATTGCTGTGCGGCAGGGGGGGTGGGGGGGGGTAGTTTGGGAGGGCCGTGTCACGACAAGTCTGATCATTGGAAGAGAGCAGGCCAAGTTCCCAGAACAGCTAGAGTACTGACTACGCTGTGCTCTCCTACCTAGTGTGGTCAGTTTTTTAATAGGAAAGCAGAGGGACTGTCAGAAACACCAGGGATTTCTCACAAAGGAAGCACATTTCAGATATAAGAAGTGTTGTGTTTACATACTCTCTTCTTGTTGAAAATTAATTAAAAAGAAAAAAGGATATAGGTAAAATATTACAAGACATTGTTTGTAACAAAAAAAGAAGGGGCTGGAGAAGGTAAAGAGAGTAAAAGGGAGTACGGGTATTAGGGTCACAAACAAAGTATTTCCCAGCAACACTTACCAGCCAGCCTGCAAAACAACCAATTTGGCCCGGTCTAACAGTGTGCGTTAAAAACAGGGTTTTGTTTGCACACATTTGCAAATACATACGTAAGCCACTGTCCTGCGTCATTATTATTATACAGTATTTATAAAGCGCCAATAGTTCGCTCAGCGCCGTACATTACAAAGGGGGACAGAACATGTGACAGAATACCAATACAATGTGATACACGAGGGGTTCGAGGGCCCTGCTCTTTCGAGCTTACAATCTAGGAGGGAGGGGATGGTGGCACAGGAGGAGATAGCTGTGGGGGATGGAGTGGTAGGAAGAGTGGAGGAGGTCGGCAAGTTAGCAGGGGGTGGGGTAGGCTTCCCTGAAGAGATGGGTTTTCAGGGTGCGCCTAAAGGAGAGGAGAGTAGGTGATAATCTGATGGGCTGGGGCAGGGAGTTCCAGAGGATGGGTGACACCCTGGAGAAGTCCTGGAGGCGGGCATGGGAGGAGGAGACCAGGGAACTAGAGAGAAGGAGGTCTTGTGAGGAGCGGAGTGTGCGTGCTGGGCGGTACTTGGATATTAGGTCAGTGATGTAGTTCGGGGCAGTATGGTGGACAGCTTTGTACGTCAGCGTTAGGATTTTGAATTTGATCCGTTGCGCAATCGGAAGCCAGTGGAGGGATTGGCGTCATGGGACCTAACTCTAAAATCTCCAGAGTCTCCATAGCAGGAGCACATATATCAATGGATAGGTTAAGGGCAGGTGTGCCTGGAAGAGCCCATCCCTCCTTAAAAAGGTACAGGGACGTACGTGACGCCCAGCTAAACCAAAATGACAGCAAAGGCATCCAGTGCGTCCCTGCATCCAAATAAGCCAACTACACAAAAAATGGCAATTGTCCCAACCTATAACCAGCCTTAGCAGTAAGGTTCACCTTGAACGGCAATGCACATCACAAACAAAGGATTTCCCAGCAACTCTTACCAGCCAGCCTGCAAAACAACCAATTTGGCCCTGTCTAACAGTTTGTGTTAAAACAACAGAGGGTTTTGTTTTATTAGGGTGTTGGGTATGGCATAGATCCCTGTATGTGTTAAGGGTAGACACATGAGGTTAAAGTGGACCATCACTTAAAGGAGAAGCACAGTTTGGTAGTACTTCTCCTGTGGATCTCAGGAGTCTCGATCTGCACTCCTGTGACCCGGTTTCAGCCGACAGCGGGCTAAAGGCTGCTGTCAGCTGACGTCACAAAGCCGGTCCAGCTTTGGGAAAGATCATGACCATATGGTCAGGTTCCACCCAGGGGCCGGGACCGGCACCTGGCTCAGGCTCTCAGCAAGCCACTGAGAACCTGAGCAAGTCGCTCCCTCCCCCCCTCCACAGCCCAGCACTTCAGTGAGTGCTGGAGGAGGGACAGAGCAGAGAGTGATGACTGACAGTCACTGCTCTCTGTTCAGAGCGGCAGGGAGAACATTGTGATCAGTAGTGTTTGATCACTCAGCTCTCACCCTTAGAGCTGGCAGGGGACAGATGCAGCATCAGACCGATGCTCTACCTAGCTAAGTATGATTAAATAAAAAAACTTCTCTTTTAAAATTGACACACATAAGTGACAATCCTTTTTCTGACAGGCAACGGCTCCCACTACTGCTTCTTTTTTTTTTTTCCCCCACAGAATTAAATTTTTTCTATAATTATGAAGGAATTTAATTGTGTTACCAACTTAAATACAAACATACAAACAGTGCTCAGAGAGAGTTTTGTTAAAGCACCACAAAATATTTTGTATTCTGATGACTGTATGCAGGTAATACCTGTAATTATAGTATTCAGTATTTAGTTCACATGGCTTTATTTATATTTTCTTCAAATTACATGTTGATAGACCAAGCTGGACAGTAACAGAGATTGGGACAAACCATAATGGTGTCTGGGGTGCTTAAAATGGTATTAACTCAAACAGCAAATATTTATTATGCTGTAGCCTACCTATTCCTAGATGCGGTAGCTGCATTTGTTTCTCTTTATAGGATACTTTCCCCTTAGTTTCACCTGTGAGTAAGTCTGTTTTTCAAAACAACAAGCTGTCCCGCAGATGTGGCATTTAGAGGATTGAGACAAACCATTTACCACTGGCAGGGGTGCTTACAATGATCAGCTTTTATGTAAAACCTTTATCCCAAAAGAAAAAAAAAAAAAAAGTTTGCTGCAACTGCTTATAAAGTGTTAGCTGGGGTTTGGCTTCAGTCTGTTAGTGTATCTAAATCCTAGTATATCTAATACACCCCTCCCTCCAGATTAACAAATGCTGCTCTCCAAAAGTGTCTCTGTGCTCCTTCATCCAGAGTGGGGACACTTCTGAACGATGGAAACCGACTGCTGGAAAACGTAGGTTAAAAATTGTCTGTTTAGCCGTGTTTGCATACCGCGTTTATGAGCATTTGTGTTTAGAAGCGTTTTTTAAAGATAAGCTCAGGAGACCTTCCAAAATGCCCAGAATGCACTGAAAAACAGTAAAAAAATTAACTATTCCAGACATTTAGAGAGAGAGCAGCAACAGAGAGAGAGCAGTTGAGATTATCTGTCTTTTTTTTTTTTTTGTGGTGTTTGGATGTGTTCCAGCTCATTTCTGTGCAGAAATTATTGCAGCAGTGTCTAACATATTTTCTGTCATGCAAAACCTCAACGTATGGTGTACCAGGTCCATTTGAGTACCGGGAAAACACTTTGCATGCATTTTTCATGATGAGAAAAGGTTCTGGACAACATCTGGAAATGGAAGAGTTAAAAAAAAAATTTCCAAACGCTTATAAAAGCGGTTAGCCGCGTTTGCAAGCATTTGGCATTTGAAATGCTGATAAAAATCTACTCCTGAACGCAAGTTTGGTGCGTTCAAAAAAACGACTGTAAACTAAATTGCCTGTAAACGACGATGTGTACATGGACACATAGGAACACATTAGGGAGAGTTCAGGGGCTGCTGAAAAAAAAAATGCAGAAAAGCTCCTAAATGTGAGTTTATCAGCTGCAGTGTACATGGAGCTTTACTGGCCAAATCACCAGGTGAAAACAGAGGTAAAAGCTTAATAAAAGTAAACTAATACAGCCGTCACATCTAAAGATTGGTAAGCTGCAATATATTACATTTTTGGTTTTGCGTTTAACACCGCTTTACACCATGTGAATAAAATGTGACCACTGTAAGCATCCTTTGCATGTTATAGTATAATCAAAGACTGTCCCAAATTCACTTTCTTGCACAGCTTGGTCTGCAGTGTAAATTAGCCAAATGCATTCCAGGTGCATCAAAACAAAAACTCTACAAAGTCCTACAGTATTTTATCTTTAGAAAACAACCAAAGCCTCAGCAGAAATGTCTGTCCACTGTCAGTTTGCTGCAGAGAAGGACCCTTCCTCTCTGTATGGAAGCAGCCATCTCTCTGCAGAGGTCTGTCCCCCACCCACTGAGATAGAACCAGAGCTTTCCAATGAGCAGGGAGCTTGATGTGTGCTGATTACAGAACTATGGTGTCCGTTTATAAACCAGCGATAAATGATTGCTGCTCAGTTCTCCGGCATTCTCGGAGAACACAGTTCTCCTGTGAATGCCTTTTATGAAGCAGTTCTCCGAACAAAGGGAGAACGGTCTACAAGCGCTGGAGAACGGTCTACAAACACTGTAAAACGGTTGATTTTACCATAATCTCGCGAGATTACAGTAAAAGATCAGTTTACTAAGCAGAGGTAAATTATCACTGCTTAGTGTGCGGTTCCTCCGATTCTCCAGGTCTGGACTGGAGAATCTGGAGGGAGAACACAGATCTCCAGTGAAGGGCTGAACATGTTCTCCGCTGATCTCCTAAGTGTCATAAACTGTGAATGACCAGAGAATAGCTGCAATCCTCTGAATCGCAGCTATTCTCTGTGTCATAAATGGACACCTATAGGTCTGTCTCAATAGGGGGCATATTGAACCTCTGCAGAGAGACCACTGCTTCCACACAAAAGTGTCCTACTCTGCAGCAAGCTGACAGGGGACAGGCCGTTTTTTTTTTCCCAGGTTGTTGAAAATTTTAGGACACTGAACACTGTTTTGATGCAACCTGGAATGTATTTAGCAGATTTACCTGAAGGTTCAATTGAGCTCTAATTGTTATTTACAGTGACAATGCACTGGTGACTGGCAAAGGCTTTTTGAAGATAGACAAATTTCGGTGCATCTGACCTATATTTGAGGTCAGCTTGAGACGTTTCTGACCTGTTTCAAAGCCAATCTTGCATTCCATTTGATTTTGTAATATTGTCCACAAACATTAAGATGTATTCAGACTTGTCAGGGATCTTTTGCATAAAATATTGTTCCATAAACAGGACTCATCTCTGATCCAAAAAATACACGTGTCACGTTCACAAAATAAATGTGGCGTTGCCCAGTGATATTGAACTGATGCTTCCAGGTACGGGATTCGAACATGTATGTACAACCCCAATTCCAAAAAAAGTTGGGACAGTGCCAGGTTTACCACAGTGAAGTATCCCCTCTTCTTTTTACAAACACTGTAAATATCTGAGAACTGAGGAGACCAGTTGCTGGAGTTTTGGGAGAGGAATGATGTCCCATTCTTGCCTCGTATGGGATTCTAACTGCTTAACAGTCCTGGGTTGTCTTTGTCGTATTTTTCACTTCAAGATGCACCAAATATTTTCAGTTGATGAAAGGTCTGGACTACAACAAGCATTCCACTCTTCAATATGAAGCCATTAGTGTTGTAATAGATGCATTATCCTGCTGAAATATGCAAGGCCTCCCCCAAAAATGACATTATCTGGATGGAAGCATATACTGCTATAAAACCTGGATATATCTTTCAGCATGGATGGAGCCTTTCTAGATGATTCCTTAAGCATGACGGCACTCAGTACCATCAGAGATGCAGACTTTGGAACGGAGCACCGATAAGTCGGAAGGTCCTTCTACTGTTTAGTCTGAAGGTTGGGGCGCCCATGGTTGCCAGTAAGAATTTCACATTTTTATTTGTCTGACCACAGAACAGTTTACCACTTGGTACTGGACCATTTGAAATGGGCTTTGGCCCAAAGAAGATGGTGGCATTTCTGGATCGTGTTGAAATATGTCTTCTTTGCATGGTGCATGAGCTTTGCCTTGCATTTTGGATGGCCTGGCAAACTTTTAGAAGTTTTCCTGAGCTCATGAAGTGATGTCCATTACAGAATCATGCCGGTTTTTAATGCAGTGCCATCTGAGGGCCCAAAGATTACAGGCATCCAATATTGTGCTTCAGCCTTGTTCTTTGTGCACAGAGATTTCTCCAGATCTCGGAATCATTTGATATTATGTACTATAGATGGTGATATATTTAAAGTCTCCGCAATTTTACACTGAGGACCATTATTCTGAAATTGTTAAACATTTTTAGACGCAGTTTTTCCCAGATTTGTGAACTTCTGCCTATATTTACTTCGGAGACACTCCGATTCTCTAAGATGCTCATTTTATACCCAATCATGTTACTGACCTGTTGCCAATTAACCTATTTAGATACAAAATGTTCTTCCTTGTTAGTAACACTTACTTTGCCAGCTTTTTTTGTTGCCCTGTCCCAATTTTTTCGAGACGTGTGGCTGCCATCAATTTCAGAATTCCCTTAATTTTTTTCTTAAAATGGTACATTTTTTCAGTTTAAGCATTTGTTAACTTTTCGATTTTCTATTGTGAAATAAATATGGGATTTTGAGATTTGCAAATCATTGCTTTACTTTTTTATGTAGATTTTATACAGCTTCCCAAATTTTTTGGAATTGGGGTTGTAGTTTGTGATTGATTATCCTGACATGGATAACAAAACAGGTCTGACCAACAACTGGTGAAAAATTCCAGCCCTACAAATTGACTTCACTGGTGACAGTCTCCTACAAAAAAATATATTTTTTTTCTTTTTTCACACACAATCTTTCTCAGACAAATTGAAAATGTTCCATTTCTTCTGATCATTGTCAAATATCTAAGAGTAGCCTAACCCTGGTTTATAAAACAACATTGGCAGAGGGAAAAATGCATACATGCCAGCCCCTGTCTGAACTCTGGGCACTATGAACTCTCAGGTCCTGGATTAAAGGGAGAGCTCATCATCTTAAATATAAAAAAATATTTAGTAGCTGTATTAGGAAATGAGTATTTCTCCGCTGTCTACAAATCTCTCTTTACAACAGAGCTGAGCCCACCTGCTGCATAAATGAAAAGCCCTTTCTGGTCTCCCTTCGGATTCCGACTTTACATGAACAATTTCACAGACGGAGTTTGTTTCAGCATCTAGTGAAGAAAAAAAAAAAAAAAAACACAACATTACAGAATGAACTGCAAATATGAATGAAACAGAAGAAAAGATATCTATGGCAATTCATGCAAATCAAGTATGGTGTGCTACCATACTGTAAGCCTAGAAAAGCAAACTATTTACTCCATTTCTGTCCACACAGTTACAGGAAAAGTTCACCTTTTGTTAAAAAAAAACCAAAAAAAACAAACAATAAATGCACATCTTTTGCCCAACACAGAATTTTACCCTTGCTGCAGTTCACAATTGGAGGGATACCGTTTTGAACCAGCACCCGGAGCTGTGGACAGCACAAACTAGCAGGGCCCAGGAACGCCTGGAGGGATGCCGTGTAATGGCAGCACATGCAGGGACTCTGGCTTTCTAGTGCTAGCCAAGTGCTGCATGACCTCCCCAGATTTTATCTGCTCTCCCCCCAAAGCCTCAACCCCCCACCCGACACTGTGCATGGCAATCTCCCATCCCTACTCTGTACACACACAGCCTAAACACACAGCACATAGCTGAAACTTGATCATCTGCCCAACTTTTCTGCTGCTCATCAGATATCAATGGGCTCCATTCACACTTTGCAATTTTGAAGTGAGGGCAGAATCACTCACTGCTTCTTTTTGCTTCTTGATTATGCTGCGTGACAATCATGGCAAAATTGCACTGCGTTTGAGGTATCATTAAGAATGAATGGCAACCAAACACACGTGTGTTTTACCATAATTGCAGTGCGATTTTGAAAGCAGAAACAGCGAAAATTGCAAAGTGTGAATAGGGCCTTATTGTTAGTGTATTTTTATGTGTTGCCAAAGACAATGCCTCTTCTTCCAATGTGGACCAGGAGAGTCAAAAGTTTGAACACCACTTCTTTACAGCATTGCATCCATGATTAGCGGATCACAGGTGTAATGCCAGATCCTACAGACTCTCAGTACGACCGTGCATCCAATACAAGCAGGTAGTTACTGAATGGCGGGAAGATCAATGAACTAGAAGAGCATTCGCCAGCACCCTCACAGTTCATTGAGAACTACAACTTAGGGTGTAACAATTTAATTTATTTGCAGGAAACTTTTGCTCCACATGGCCACGTGGTTTTAAAATTGTGACAGCAGGAGATCCCCTGCCTGTTGTCACAAAGTGACAGCATGAGATCCCCTGCCTGTTGTCACAAAGTGAGAAGCACAGGCAGTGGAAGGTGGCAAAAAATCTCCCCAAAATAATTAAATAGAAATCCTGTGCTTGGGAATTTGCAAATAAAATTAGCAGCTGACACAGTAAATAGGCAAAGATAAACAAACTAAAAACACTTAGTGTAGCGCTTAAGATAGTAATTAACAATAAAATTTGTCCAAATCCCCACAAGAGAAGGATAATGGTGAAACAATATAGTACATTAAATAAAGTCTATACAAATTTCATCTGATCCAGTAGTGGTGGTGCCAAGTGAAACCAAAAGCCAGAAGGAGAGAGAGAATCCATCACCTTTCACAGAATAATTTGGCCACTTACCGGAAAGTTTGACCACTCGAAGGATTGGTCAAAAAAAGCAGATATCAAGCCTAGCAGATGAGTCCAGGACTCCCAGATGGCTTTCCCAAGAAATCAGGACAAATTAGGGACTTCTCACTAAACAATGAGGTCTAGCATGGCAAATATTCCCTGCACAGCACCTCCAGCTCCTTCTCTCGCTCACTTCCGGGTTGTGCAACCACCAATCCCTCCTCACCAGAATAGAGACAGGTGTGTACTGGAGCCCCCTCCTGTCACCATTTTTCTCTTGGTGTCAGGAACATTAATCAGAAGTGCAGATAGCGGAGGAATGAAGCAGCAGACAGAAATGACACTATAGTGCATACTGTAGAGGGATATGCTTTTGTAGTTCAAGTCTGAGGTTTACAACCACTTTAAAACACAAAAAGAACGAATGCCTTGATAAGATTATTGACACTTCACAAGTGCAGTACATTTTAAAATGTTTAAGCTTTACTTTTATTAGGGTTTACATTTTAAAGTTTTAATAAGTTCCCAACATTGGGCAGTTTCTGACCACCTAGTTGGCAATATTTATCTGCTCTGGTAGTCTGGGCTGCTTATTAGCCAGGGAAAATCTTCCTCCGAACAGGGAAAGAATGTGTGTCACTGATACAGTTATGTCCTGGTACTCTGTTGACATGAGAAGGCAGGCACATAGCTCCTCGTCCACCTGCCCTCTGCCATCTATGGCTGATCTGCCTTTAGGGAAATATCTATGCAGCCAAGGCATCGGGACTTTTATGTGACTTCATACAAAGTAGTGAGAGGACAAAAACATTCAGAGAGGTCACTGGCTCAGAAAATGATGCTCACAATACACAGGGTTTCCCTCCTGTGGGTACTCAGCAGGTTACCAGAAAAAAAAAAAAAACCTGCATCAATGGAAGGAGCACCAGACACAATGATAAAAGGTGTCTGAATTTATTGGTTTGTATTTTTAAAAAATCCAACAAGCTTCAGGAACCAGAACATAAACTCCCCCCTCATCAGGACTTTATTTTAAATCCATTCAAAGTTCTTATTTTAACTTGATTCACACAGGAAAGATCTATGTAGGGTAAGATAACTGCTGGACCAGGAGAATTACTGCCTAGCATCATCCGACCCCCAAAAGGCATTGGATTTTTCTTTAGTGTAAACCAATACATTTATTTGGTCTGGTGTTCCTTCCATGTTTTTTTTCAAGGAAAGGTTTGTCCACCTATGGCCAATCTGCCCACAAGAAAATATCTACCCATCTATGGCCAATCAAAAAAAAGTATTATCCATTTTCTGGCCAGAGGTTCTTGCACCTTGTAAAAATTCTGTAAGCATTACCTGACGTAGTGAGTGCTCGCAATTGCAGAGCTTCTGTAGGAATCATATGTCTGAAGCGGAATGGATCACGGTCTTCAAACATGGAGGCTCTGTGTGATCCACCCTAAAAGTCAGCAAAGAAGGGCATTTCAAATGATTAATCAAACAAAATATAAAGCAACTGTAATTGGCTGTGTCTGCTAAGTTTTCCTCTGGGTGCTTATTCAATTAAAGTCCAACTGAAGTTTAAATTATTTTCTGTGTGGTTAAGTATGCGGTGAAACCCAATTCAGTCTTTTATGTCTTGCTTTTATCGTCTTGCTTAAATTAGCTCAAGCCAGTGAAATCTGTAAATACAGGCACAGGCTTTGCATGTGGAAGAAACAGTTTCTTTGTGGTGGTCTATCATCCTTACTTTCCCCCCTCCACCACTGCTTTAGCCAGCCATAGATTGACCAAATTTCGGCCAGTTCAGCAGAGACCGGCCAAGATTCGATCCATCTATAGGCAGGTTGATTGTACCCAAGTCCATCTATCAATCGAGAAGGGTACAACCAGCCTGTCGGATATTTGGCATGCAATTACTGCACGCGGCTATAGCTGCGAGCAGTAATCACTCTTTTCTCCCGGCTGGGAAAGCTCACCACAGGCAGAATATAATAGCACTGCGGGAGGCATTCCCCCCCATCAACACTAACTGTGTTGATGGGGAAACAAGCCATTTTCTTTCCTTCCGCCTGAAATGGAAGGAAAGATATTCAATTAAAAGATAAGTCCACTTTATTAAAAAAAAAAAAAAATGCACATTTCTTGCAGGTAAAAAGTCTGCATTTATTTTTTTTTCCATTAGGAGCCTGTAAAGCATTGCACCTGTGATGCCTGTGGGTGCAATGTAAACTGTCAGTACACTGTCTGCCCATACCTCTGATACAGGCAGTCAGTTACTGCAGTCCAAGAAGCTCAATGGACTAGGAGAGTGCTAACCAGCACCCTCGCAGTCCATTGAGAACTACAAGCCATCAGCTGCCAGGGCTGACGGTACTTATAGGCATTCATTCACAAGAAACTGAATGAATAATGTGGGCACGTGGGTAGAGCCCTGCATGGCCACGTGATTTACAAATTGTGACAGCGGGCGTGGGGAGAAGATCCCTGGCCTGCTGTCAGAGGGAGAGGAGAAAGGCTACAGCTGCCAGAACATGTTACGTACATGTTCCACCCTAAAAATGTATGGAACATATAACATGTTCCAAAAAGTGAATTTATCCTTTAATTCAATAGATCTTCTATACCTACATTTGCATGTTCTCCCTGTGCCTGCGTGGGTTTCCTCAAGGTGCTCTGGTTTCCTCCCACACTCCAAAGACATGCTGGTAGGTTAACTGGATCCTGTCTAAATCGGCTTTAGTATGTGTATGTATGAATGTGAGTTAGGGCCTTAGATTGTAAGCTCCTCGAGGGTTAGGGACTGATGTGAATGTACAGTGTGTGTGTATAAAGTGCTGCATGAAATTGAAGGCGCTATACAAGTACCTGTAACACTAAATCTTATTATGTACCTATCCCGTATCTCCCCTGAAGAATTCAGATTACAGTAAAACACAACACTTACAAGCTTCTTCTTTTGCTTGGTGCTGTCCTTGTACACCAACACAACAGCCGTCTTAAATACTGGAAAAGAGAATACAGATATATTTCGTTTCATGTTGTTTCAACAAAGGACAGAGCTTAGACATTAGAACATGGGTAAAGTATCAAAAGGCACCACCAAGTGGTAACAAGTCTTATTTATCATTGTTTCATCCCAAAGCTAACAATCAGACTCAAACCAGCATGGGAAAAGAACTTTGGAGGTGAGAATTGAAAGTAGAAACTTGGTGATGTCCAGGGGCGGACTGACTCGACAACTTATGGGGCCCCCGGGCAATAGGGGATCATGGGGCCCCTGTGTCCTTGCCCAAACTCAAAAAAGCCTATGAAAAAGGTACCAGGGGCATTTCATGGGGCTCCCAACTGACCCCGGGCCCTCGGGCAGTGCCCGAGCTTCCAAATGGTCAGTCCGCCCCTGGTGATGTCAATTACACAGCCACATACAGTATTATATGTCTTTCTTTACTCTTATTGCTGCTATTAACATTAAAATTCACAGTTCAGTTTCCTTTCCAAATCATAATTCCTTGTAATACACAGCTATAGGACAATATGGCGCCTCTCCTCCCACAACTTTTGTTGGGAAATTTTGAACATGGCTTCAGTCAGGCTATGGCACTGGCGGTCATGGTCTTGTTCTCCTTCAGTTCTTCCAACCTTATAGAGAGTTAACTAACAAGTGAGGGGTATAGTTTTTTTTTATCTGAGGACAAGTAATAGAGACTCTGGGTTATTTTGCTCCAAATGAGCTTGTTGTGGCTCAATACTGAGACTGTCCTGCAGAAATTAACAGAGTTTTGGATGTCTAGAAGGTTACATAAGTGGGTTTGTCTGGCATTAATGAGAGGGGTATGTCATATGTCAGTAACCTTCTTTGGAAAGAGGAGCAAAATGGTATAAATACAGTATATCCTGAAATGGAAAACAATCTAGCACTTCCCTTTTTGCTGGTTAAGCGCCATGTGTATACATTTGATAAGCATAGATTATATTTTCACTGCCAAAGACAATGGTCTGGGTTCTTCTACAACACTTTATCATTAGCGGCACATTGTTGAAGCTCTGTGCTCTCCCCTCCTGTGAGCGTGTTTCACAATGTTAGTCTGTTATCATTCTGCAAAGCTTTAGAGCCCCAAATGGTTTACATTGCTGGCGGCCAAACGGATATTGTTCAGAGATTAGCAGAAGCCAATTTAAAAATATACCAAATTAAAAAAGAAAAAAGCGCCACTTACAAAAAAACACCAAAGTGTCAGCAGCATATCCCACCCAAAATAAATTTTGGCAACAATAATCCAAATTAAAAGGTATACGCTAATAACAAACTTATACAAAAGTGTATATCATCATCCAAAAAACATTAGTGTTTTAAATAAATTATAGTGTCCAAACATAAATTAGTGTCCAAAAAAAATATATATATCTTCAGTGACTTGAACCAATTGTGAGAAATCCACTACCAAAGGAGATTAAATGAACTCACCAGAGCTAATGGCTGGTCAGATAATAAACCAGCAACAGCGCTTGTGCTCTGGGAGCAATGAACCTGATGTCCAAATAGATATGGTGATGTTTCAGATACTTCCAGATAATAATAATCACAGCCAAACAACTTTGCAGCCCAAGCTCTTATGATGAACTTCTCCACTCTTTCTCATACCTCCATGAGAGCATGCAGTACACTCAGGGACAAAAAAGAGAACATAATGGTGCAATACGTTTTTTTCATTTATCTCTTTAATAAAAAAGGTATAAAGGAAACTCACAAACAAGGTGTCCAACAGACACCAGCTTCAATCGCAAAAAAGGGTTGAGATACAGTTAACGCTCACCGCAGATCTCTCCCATACAGCACAGACCAGCAAGGCTCTCTAACGTCCACATCGAGTAGGCCATGCCCAACCGGTTTCGTCACACCGACGCCATCAAGGGGCGTTAAAGAGATAAATGAAAAAAACGTATTGCACCATTATGTTCTCTTTTTTGTCCCTGAGTGTACTGCATGCTCTCATGGAGGTATGAGAAAGAGTGGAGAAGTTCATCATAAGAGCTTGGGCTGCAAATTTGTTTGGCTGTGATTATTATTATCTGGAAGTATCTGAAACATCACCATATCTATTTGGACATCGGGTTCATTGCTCCCAGAGCACAAGCACTGTTGCTGGTTTATTATCTGACCAGCCATTAGCTCTGGTGAGTTCATTTAATCTCCTTTGGTGGTGGATTTCTCATAATTGGTTCAAGTCACTGAAGATATATATATTTTTTTGGACACTAATTTATGTTTGGACACTAAAACACTAATGTTTTTTGGATGATGATATACACTTTTGTATAAGTTTGTTATTAGCGCATACCTTTTAATTTGGACAATTTAAAAATATATTCCAGTGTTTTTTAAGGAATAGAAAACTTGAATAAGTTAGTTTTATTTAATATTTTTGTCTACTTCACTTTAAGATTGGTTGCTATGGAGGAAAACAAAGTTCTCATCTTAGACAAGTTAACCACTTTAGCTCCTGGCCCCTTCTGCCGGCAACTCGCACATCCGTATCAAAGTCTTTATTTAGCAATAGAATAGTGATGATAAAAACAATTTATATAAATAGCCTATATAAAAATAGCCTTAGACATATCCTCTCCTACATGCAAACCTAGACATTCCTCTCTTACATGCAAAAATCAGCACTTTTTTTGCTAGAAAATTACTTATAACCCCTAAACATCATATATCTTTTAAGCAGAGGCCCTAGAGTATATAAAATGGTGGGTGTTGCAATTTGCGCAGTGGCTTTTCAAATGCAATTTTTTTTTTAAATACACTTTAATTTTCTGTTTCAATCTTTTTATTGGATTTTAACAAGAGAATACAAAAGTCTAAGTCAAGCATATGAATTTTGCATGCCACTTTAATGAATTTTAATGTACAAAAACACAATACACTTTTGTTTAGTAAAATATAAAAGATGATGCTACGCTGAGTAAATAGTTACACAACATACCACTCTTTAAAATTCTGCACGCTAGTGGAATGGCGACAAACTACGATACATTAAATTATCCATAGGCGACAGTTTAAAAGCCTTTACAGGTTACCACTTTAGAGGCACACAGGAGGTCTGGTGCTAGATTTATTGCTCTCACTTTGCGGTGATACCTCACATGTGTGGTGCGAACCCTGTTTACATAAACATGTGCGATCTACATATGCCTTTGCGCATGAGCATGGGGGGAAGGGGCACTTTAATTTTTTTAAAAATTATTGTTTTTTATTTTGACACTGTCTATTTTTTTGTGTCACTTTTATGGCTTTCACAAGGGATGAACACATCCTTTGTGACAGCTGGAGCAGTGATAGGTGCTCTTTATGGAGAGATCTGAGGTTTCTCCTCTGCCCTTCAAAGCATCAGATCAAACCCAGGTCAGTTTTATCTGACGCTTTCACAAGCCAGT